CGCACAGCCATTCATAAGGAAAAGGAAAAAAACCTAGAGAAACGGGCCCCCAAATATGAAAAAGCAGTTCCCCTACTAAAAAAAGAAAGAAAAATGGCAAAACCAAGAAAATATTCCTGACTCAATTTTCTATTAAATAAATGAAAATAAAAACCACATAATACTATCTCCATTCCACAAAACAGAGGAAAAAAGGAAAAGGAAGCATTTGGTAAAATGTGGAGACAGGTAAGGGGTACCTCTCGGACTGGATATCGGGCAGGTAGGGGGAATTGGTGAATTTTGGGAGGACGATTGGAAGAACACTTTTTCCTTCCACCCAGGACCTGCAGCTAGAAAAGGTAGCCAGGCGAGGACCCAGGAGCCGATCCAGCACTGTCACCAGGAGCAAAAGCCTGGAAATGAGGGGTCACCAAGGAGAAAGTGCTGGGTCACGTAGGGTCCATCTGCAGCCCCTACAAGAGTCGGGCAGAACCGTCTGCATAGGCCAAGATGAAACCAGGTCAGAAGAAGGATCTGCAACTCCAGGTGTAGACGATCCTCCTCTGGATGGGAGTTTTTATTCTCAGGTACACAGATGGGGCGACTTTCTGGAAATGTGCACTAAAAACCTGCTAGATGAAGTTGCCTTTGGCACGAGAGACGTGCGGGGAGGAGCTCACTTTCATCTTGTCCTTTCCTGTTCTGCTTAGATTTCTAATCACGTGCACACAGAGTATTTTAATGCTTTAAATGTCATCAGGAAATATCCGGGTGGTGGGACTTGAGACATATTTGGTTTTCTTCTTTATACTCTTCTATGTGAAAAAGAATCAAAATCGTTGGGTTTCAACGCCTTCACTGCCCTGGGGATAAAGTCCACTCTCCCACCAGGACACCCCGGGAGGTGCCAGTCCCAGGGCTGCTTCCTCCAATTTCCTCTCTTTGGACTCCTGGCTCTGCCCACATCAGCTTTCCATGCTGCAGAATCCCATGGGGTTCCATCCACCTAGATCACCTCCCCTGCTCCCGGACTGCCTCTTGAACTTCAGCTTCATTCCAGATGCCCACCCAGTGCTTGTCTCCGGGAGCCGTGTCGTCCTGCTAGCTGGATCCCCGGCACTCCAGCCTCACCTCCTCTGTGCCCACATCCCTACTCGGCTGTCATGACCTGTCCACTGGCCAGCAGCCCTCACTCCCCTTCAACAGCCTGGAATGTTAAGGACAGACCAGGATCACTGTGCAGAGCCCAGCACTGAGCCTGGCACGTAGTAGGCTTCATAAATATCTGTCGGCCGAACTGGCAGATGACTGAGAACTAACAAAGAGCCGGCATCTCAGGCTTATCCCTACTGCGGGCCTGTCCGAGGGGTGGCACTCCTGGGCCTGGCCTCCGCCACCAGCCCGAGCTCAGGGAAACTGGAGGGGCAGACAAAGCAGCCAGCAGCCGGGCCGCCGCTGCACTCCAAGGTGGCTTTGATTTCCTCTTCTGCGGGTGCCAAGTCCCTGAACAAATATTTTCCTGGAGTGGAGGAACGGCATAGCTCCCGGCCTTAAGTGCTGGAAAGGCAGTCGGGCAGGGCAGGTTCCAGGAACCGGAGAGGTTCAGGCCGGCTATCGCTGGGGAGGAGCGGTCACTCAGGCTGCCCTATGGGAGGTGCCCACCTCTGGCTGTCTGAGGAGGGGGCCTGTGCCACCTACCCCGTGGGGCCCGCCTGGCTCGCCTGGCTCGGCGTGCAGCTGTGAGAGGCTTTTGCCCTGGGCTTCTTTGCCCATAAATTAGAATCCTCTGGGAGTCGGAAGAAAACGTAGGCCATGTGGGCCTCCCTCATTTTTGCTGAAAAAGCTACAGTGGGGTTTAAAGGAACTAATTAGAATCTCAGAAGCCCTTTTATAAGCACTTTTTTTTTTCCCTTTAACTTTCCTCTTGCGGAATAACATACGCAGAGTACACTCATCTAAGGGTACAGCTTGATGATTTATTTACATACACGTTCACCCTTGTAATCACCACCCACATCAAGCCAGAGAATATTTCCGGCACCCAGAAGGTTCCTTTGTGTCTTGGCCTCGTCAACTACCACACCCTCTGCCCATTGGCTTCTAGGATCATCAATCACCTCTGACTGCTCCTGAATTTCAGAGATGGATCATGTGGCATGGGCTCTTTTGTGTCTGGACTCTTGTACCCAATATATCACCTAGGACATTCACCTATGTGGTGCATGCATTGGCACCGTCCTTTCTATTACTGAGTATTCTTCCACTGCATGAATTCATCACATGCCTCTCCAAGTGCTCGTATGGATTGGCACACCCTCCAACAGCCTAGGAGTCCTCTGTGACTTCCCCTCCCTCCAAYGCCATGTCCTTTTCGGGGAAGGGGGATCTTGTTTGATGAATGTATTTCTAAGAGCAAGACAGCAGCTTGGCCAGCCACCATGGGCTCCCAAGTGCACAGACTCCCCACTCACACGGGGAGCCCCTAATCTGGCCCGGGCCCTTACCTTGCACTCATGTCCCAGGGGGCCTAGTCCAAAATGGGTGCAGGGTGGGAGAAGCAGCAGCGTTGGGGGGTGGGTGAGGGGAAGGGAGAGAGCCAGGCAGGTCAGACTCTCTGCAGCATTAGGGTTGGTGGGCCCAATTTCTAAGTCTCTCTAGGTGCCCGGCTGGGGTCCTCTCAGTTCCTGCTCATTCAGCTCTAGAGGCCAGCCACCTCCTGTGGCCATCGAACACCCCTTTAGTCAGGCTGGGGAGGAAGGGACCAGCAGGCTCGATGGGGGTAGAGGTAAACCATGACCCCAGGGCTCTGGTGCGTGGAGGTTACCTGAAGACCCACTTGAAGAAGACCTCCCTCCAGATGCTGTTTTGGGGGCCCATTCACCATCAGTGCCTAACCTGAGGGGTGAGATGGCCCACCTCAAGGATCAGCTCTGGGGCCACTGTCCCTTCTCCTCCCATGAGATTCCATACTGTCCACCAGCTCAGAGGACGCCCCAACGTGGACACCCCTTCCCTCAGGTTCCCCTCGGGCAGTGTGCCTGTGGAACAAGTTCTCACTCCGCGAGTTGGGGCCACACCTCACAATTCCTGTTAGTGTCACCTCCAAGCCTCCAAGCCCAGGCCTATCATTAACCCTCCCTCTCCCCTCTCATGGCCTTGCTCTCCTGCCCCTTTCCCAAAGTCCCTGCAGAGGCTGCAGGCTCCCCCTCCCCCTCCCCCTCAGAACAGGGCGAAGTGACATGAGGAGCGAACCCCGAGGCCAGCAAGGCCAAGCCCGCAGTTTAAACAGAAACCAGCTGCAAAGTAGGAACGCAGCGGAGCGACCAGGAGAAGACGCTCATTAGTTAGAAAATGACTTGAAAGAGCTCTTGGTGGCAATTCGGGGCACCCGCTCCCATACAGAGCACACACCCAGGCCTGACGGCGGCCTGAGCCAGAGGCCGGGAAAACAAGAGGGTGCTGGACTGCTCCCTTCAGAGGGGCTGGGGTCTTGGAACCTGGCAGGTCCTGTGTGGAAGGAGCAGTCTTCATAAACTCATAAATATCTGGGCCGTCAATTCTACAGCTGTGTCCTCACTCTTCAGCCCAGGGAGTGGCAGACAGTAGGCCAGGTCAGGGCTGGATGGAATCCAGGGCTAGACTCGGAGGGCAGGCAGCTGGAGGCCCCAGAATATGAGGGCCCCTTGGGTGCAATGTGCTTCTTCAACTCCCGGATCTTTCACTATCTGTCTCTCCTACTGTGCAGACAAGACTGTTGGGCCTTTGGCACTGGAGACAGTTTGCTGGCGAGTTTTCAGGAGTCATACACATAGAACAGCCAGCTAGGAAAAATTTGGAGGCTCTCATGTCCTTGAGGAAGGGAACCATCTAGTCAGTCTTAAGGATGGAGGAGGGCTGGGTAGGTGCACGGCCAGGAGCCTGGGAGGAGGAGACCTGCACAGGGTGTGTGGCAGGGCAAGGAGGGCAGAGGTGGGCTCCATCTTCCCTTAGAGTGGAGGGACCAGCACTCCATACACAGTCCAGAGCTAGGCTCCTACAGCAAAGGGGACAGGACAGGACATTGACAGGCTAAGAAGCGATTCTACTACCACTACAGTGTCTGCTGCCCAGAAATGACAAGTCACACACATGGGCCCACCCAGAGGCTTGTGTACCATCCCATAGACCAGCAACTGAGCACAGTCCCAAACCCCTGTCCCCAACCCCCGCTGTGTCTAGTCGCTCCAGCAGAGAGCACAGATCCCCTTCATTTGGTGGTGCAAAGTAGCTCAATCCGGAGTGGCCACAGAGCAACTGGAAAGTCATCAAGTTAAATAAGCGAGGACAGGAGTTTCGGGAGCCCCTGTCCCAGCAGAGGTGCAGGAGAAGGGCTGCCTGAGGTCCTCAAAGAGGGCCTAGATCCACACCTCTGCCAGAGGCCAGTGGCCTCAGAGGTCAAGCTGTGTGTGCTGCCTGGCTCTGTTAGCCCTTCAGAAGGACTTACATCATGGCCTTAGAGACCCTTGGCCGAGATTACCCACCTCTAAAAGAAATTTAGCCAAAACAAAAAAACAAACCAGAGACGCTCTGGACCTGGATCCCTCCCCTCAGAGACATGAAGGCACACAGCCTCTAGGCCCAGCTTCCCCAAACCACCCACATTCAGAGAGAAAAGGCTGGACACATCCACACAACCAGCCCAGAGAAGAAGCAGAGGCCACAGAGTTCACATGACTCCTTTATATTAAAGTTTATTACATTTGGAAAATCTACTGTACAGGGAAAACCCATTGGATTAAGTAGAGTTTTGCCAAAAGCAAAAGACGATCACTCTCTGGAAGACATTCCTGACTCCGCCCAGGGCAGGGGCTGCAGGAGCTTCAGGTGAACTTGGTTCTTGATGGAGGGGCCTACGCCATCTCTGCACAGATGGCTCTTGTCAACTTCCAGGAGAAAGCATCCCCCAGAGATGGTGCCAAAGGCAGGAGGGTCTCTGCCCCCTCCCACTCTTCCACCTGCCCCACAGTCCTTCCCCTCCATCCCCAGCCTGAGCCCCAGGATTAAATTCTCATGAAGGCTCTTCCAACATCACAGTGGCCCAGGCCACAGGTGTGGCCCTGAGTTCATGGATACAGGCATGATTGCTCAAAAGAGGTGGCTGCCCTACTGCAAGCAGCCTGGACTGGCCAGCCCAGCAATGGACCACCAAAAATGGGGCCACCAAACAGGTAGTCCAGACCCTGTCGCACACATGAGTGACAAACTCAGAGACAACTCACGAACGAGACCTACATTCTGACTTCCAGATTTGGTTCTCCTAGTTTTAAAAACAACAACAAACAAACAAACAAACAAACAAACAAAAACAAAGTCTTCTTAACCCTGACTCTCTCCTGAACGTAGATTAGGGAAGCAAGATGGGGGCGACCGAATCAACTGACTTGACTTACCTCGGAAGTAACAACGTCTACTGGGGCTATGGACAGAGAAACTAGAAGAACGTGTGCAAAAACAAGTCGATATCTAAACCAGACCTCCCCACAATGCAAAGTGAATTCCCATGGAGCCCTGAACTCTGGCCCCGAGCCCAGGCGGCCACGCCCAAGCCTGCTGTCCCTACTAAGTGCTACGTTATGTCAGCCGAAGCCCCATCCCCAGAATTTTCCAGCCACAGTGGGCCATCCAGGTCCAAAGCAGTGGGGCCCCTTTCTCTCCAGAGCTGGATCTGGGAGGGGCTGCTCCAGTTTGGAGAAGCCGACTCAGAATGGCGGGACACCAGGTGTGGCTGTGGTGGAAAGGTCAGATGCGAGAAACCCTTTGCGCCCAAACCTCCAGGCAGAAGACGAAGAAGCAGAGTGAGCCCCCCAGGACACCCAAGGACTGCATGGGCAGGAGCAGCCCGAGGGCAGAGTGCTGGGGCGGTGGCACGGTGGCGGGGAGGCCAGGGCCTGCAGTTTTCTTCACGGAAGAGGCAAGTGGGGGCCTAGTGAGTGGCAGGGAGCAATGGGGACAAATGCTCCTCTCAGGCGTAGAACTCCTCCTGTTTGGTAGGCTTTTGGTAGGCGCCGCCGTTGGCTTGTTTCGGCTCCTCCAAAGAGTAGCTGCCCTCATCCTTCTTCTTCATCCGGTACAGCATGAAACCGACCAGGCACACAGCAAAGATAAGCCCCACCAGGCCTCCGGCAATGACCCCTAGGAAAGGCGGACAGGGGATAACTCAGCTCAGCAGCTCCTTGGGTTCGGCAGCAACTCCTCCCATTTTAGGCAGCACAGGAGGGGCCTCAGGTCCACCCAGAGCCACAGTCTGCCCCCTCCCACACACCCCAGGGCAGACTCACCTCCCAGTACTTCCTTCCTGTCCAGGAGGCCCTGTGAGGCCCCTGTGGCCTCTGTGGTCTCTGGATCCACGGGGGGCTGATTCCGGTGGTCGGGCTGTACCGGTACCACAGCTGTGGTCTCCTCAGATGCTTCAAAGATGAAGTCCTAAGGGAGGGGACGTACCAGGCTGAGCTGGGGCCACTGCCACCATGGCCTCCCAACCCAGAAGCACCTCCTGCCTGTCTGGTCTCCACTGCTACCCACTGGACACATCCCATCCTGAACTTGCCACGTCACCCTGGGCCCTGGCTGGATTGGGGCCCAGCTGTTACCTCAAGTGACACAAAGCACACATTTTTGTATGAAAATAAATAGGCTCATTTTTAGTGTAAAGTATAAAATGATCACACCACTCTAAGACAAAAAAACAAGACTCAGTAGAACTTGTGCCCCTGTGTCAGTCTGGGGGCTCCCTCTGGAGTGACCTTTATGGACTCTTTGTCTCTGGTCTTATAATTAGTCTGCCCTCCTCTGGGTGAGGCCCTTGGGCGGGGGGCAGGAAGAACGTGGGATTCTGTGACCTTGTCCTCATGATGGGAATCACGATGTGCTCACAGGACACAGGGTTTTAGGCTTGCCAGGTGCCAGGCACTAGGGGCCACCCAATGTCCTGGGAACATAGAGACAGCTCACCTGCTCCCCAGAACCCTCTCCTGCTGGAAGCGGATCCTCAGCAGTCCCCTCAGTGGGAGAAGCACCTCCAGACTCCACACTGGGCATATGAGAGTCTGGCTGGTCAGGCGCTGTAGGAGCTGAAGTTTCATGGTGGCCAGGCTGCATGTCCCTGTGGGGATGAGAGGTGGCAGGTGCCTGGACAGTGCTGGCTCTGGCTGTTGAGGCCCGCTGAGTGGTCGGGAGCTGTGTGGTCTCCCTGGGTTCTGGGGCGGTCTCCTCCTCGTGGGCAGTGAGGTCAGGCTGGGCTTCGGCGAGGATCACGGCCTCTCCCTCTCTGGGCCTCTCTCCAACCGGCAGGACGGAGGTGGAGGCAGCCGTGGCGTCGCTGGCAGTGGGCTCTGGAGCCCTGGGCGTGGTGGTCAGGAGCCACATGTCCTTCCAGGTGGACGGGCTCTGCCGGGGCAAGGTGATATCCGGCAAAGCACCTGCAGGGCCAAAGGCAGAGCGGGTCAGGGTGGGAGAGGCCCCAGAGCGCACAGCCCAGCCCCACTGAGGCTGGGAGGAGGGTGGGTGCCTAGGCAAGACTCAGGCCTGGACACCCCAGCCAGCGAGGACAGCCATCCTCCCTCTCAAGAGGCTGAGTCCCGAGGGTGAAAACAGCTGAAGGAAAACTCAATTTGGAAAAGAGAAGAGGAGAGCAGCCCTTCCCTGCCCCTGCCTTGGGGACAGCTTGACCTCCAGGAGCCACCAGAAAGATCCCAGGGTCACCTGGGAAGGAGCTTTTCCATGACATGACCATGGTGGGGGCACAAGAGCCTTACCCCAGTGCACACACCCCTCCCTCTCCCCAGAAGGGTTCGGGCTCCAAGAGCAGACACCGGTATCCCACCTCCCAGCTCTCGGGTCACCACCCTGGCCCCTTTCCTACTCATGCCTCAGCCTCCTTTCTGAGCTTTCAGGCCTCTTCTGAGATCGCAAAGAGCTGCCTCTTCTATGAGGACTTCTTCAGTTCAGGACTTGTCTTCCCCAGGAGAAGGGAAACAGGAAAGGAGACTGAAAGAGCTACCCAGCAGGCCCTGAGCTGCCTTTTAGCTCCCAGCAACCTTGTGGTCAAGGTATTATGCCCATTGCACAGACAGAAACACAAAGGCTTGCAGGAGTCAACGAGCCTTCCAAAGGGTGGTTCCAAAGGGGACGTGCCCGTTTGCAGTGGGCAGCCCTGGGGCCTGCACTTCGCCTCCCTGGAGCTCCATGAAGCACAAATGACATTCTTTCACTCAGCATCACCCTCCTGACCCAGCTGGGAGGAAACAGGGAGAGGGCTCACCTGCACCTGAGCCAGAGAAGTTGTCGGAGTCATCCCCAGAGCTGTCTTGATCTTCAGGAGGCACATTTGTGGCCACAATTTGCTGGAAAAGGATCGTAAGAGGTTATGAGAGGAAGCCTGGTGGGAGTCGTGCCGTCCCAGGGTCCCTGTCCCAGACAGATGAGTGGCCTCAGCCACCCCGCACAGCACAGACTGTGCAGGTAGGAAGCCCCCACAGGGGGCTCCGGGCCCTCGGCTGAGCAGCCATCTGCTTCTCCCTGCACAGCCCATCTCTCAGAAGAACAGAAAGCTGTGCCACAAACACAGCTGTCACCCCATGGGACCTCATCAGGACTGACTGAATAGTCCATTCATGGTGGCCCATTCACAAGGAAGAGTCACAGCCCATGGTGGCCCACGCCACACTAAGAATCAGGTCTCGGGGGATATCAGCTAGGGAGCTTCATGAGCCCCAGGAACAATCCCAAGACAATCTGGACCCAGAAAAGCAGCCTGAAGATGTGCTGGACACCAGTGCGTGGACAAAGGCCTGCAGGTGTGAGGGCCTTTGTCAGGGCTGGGCACAGCAGGGAGCTAGCTCACCCAGGAGCTTTGTTCCCACAGGCAGTCCCAGGCTTGGCCATTAAGCCCATTTTTCTTATCCACAGCAAGGACTGGGTCCTGGCCCTCTAAGTCAGGATATTGTCCTTCTTGGGTATTGTCCTTCTTGGGGGAGGAAGGACAGGGTACCCCTCAGGCTGGGCTCAGCTGAGAATAATCTGGAAGGGGCTCTGCAGGAAGGGCAATGGGCCTGGGACAAGACCTCTTTGCCAACAGCAGCCCCAAAAAAGTGGCCTGACTTGCCCTACTCCAACCTGGACAGGCTGCAGGTGTCCAGCTCCTAAGGCAGGGGCTGACCTGCAGGACTGGGGATTGGGCATCTGGAGGAGGCAGAAAGTCAGGATCGTGTCTTCCTCCAACACCGGCTCAAGATAAATAATGAGGTCAGAAAGGGTAGCTGTGAAGGTCCAGTTCAGCAGTGAGATTTGAACCCAAACAACCCAGCTCACTGAATCCAACAGAATGAATAAAGAAGCAGCACCCCACGGTGCAGCACAAGAGCTTTAGAGACCCCTGGAGTTCTGCCACCTATTAAAAGTCATCAAACCTCTTATGGCTATAGTCTCCCCATCTATAAAATGGGCCAATAGTAACATCTATAGTCTAGGACTGTGGCAAAAATCCAGTGAGGTTATGCAAGTAAAGAACCTAACAGTAAGTGCCCCACTGCGGCCAAGCTCTAACTAGGGAGTGAGTCACTCAACATGAGGAGGAAGGATCCTGGGGCCACGGCAGCCTCTAGAGCCAGCAGCCCTGTCTGGACGGAGGGCAGGATGGAAGTCGATGAGGTTTCATGAGAAGCGGGCAGGAGGGGCCAGTTCACCACAGCTTGTCAGAATGGCCCACCCGAGATTGGCCTCCAAGAGTACAGTCACCTCAGACCAAGAGGCTCACCAGTCCTGGTCACAGGCCCAAGGCCTCACTCTTCAGTGGGGAGAGGAGAGAAGGACAGACAAGACCTGTGGCCTCAGGAGGCAGCCCTGGGGCCGAGTTGGACCAGGCAGAAGCTCCATATCTAGGAGCTCAGGTCCAAGGGACACACTGGTCACATGTAGAAACCGTGAGGCTAAAAATAATGCTGAACTTCCTTTGAAAGTACAAAAGCAAAACTGTATCTTCCTTCCCCCAAGAGCAAGGTTTCCACTCTAGAAGGGCCTTTCTGTTCCATCAAGAAGAAAGAGTGGAGTCCGTCATGGCCCATCCACAAGTAGAGTCACAGCCCATGAAAACCAGTCACAGTCCAACCCCCTGACCCCACATCAGACTATACCCAGTCTATGCCATCCCAGGTGGTGTTTCAAGACCGTCCACCAGGCAGATGCAGATGTGCAGATCACAGCTACACCCTCACCCAAAGCCTCTGCCCCACCCTCTCCTGATGCCCTGATTCCCTCCTTTAGAGAGAAAGCTCCAGACTGCGGAGAGGTTCAGGGCTCCAAGCAGACAAGCCTGATCGTAAAGAGAGGCAAGTTTCCAGTAGAAGCCAGAGTCATGGGGTCCAGGACCCATTCAGCAGATAAGGTAGCGCAGGCCAAGAAGACACACACACACACACACACACACACACACACACACACACACTGGCCCCTGTACAACCCTGTAGGCACCGCCCTGAGTCCAGGGGAACCCAGGGAGGCCAGCCTCTCACCTACACAAAGAAGCCCCAACAGGTTAACAGTTTCCCAAGAGACTAGGGCCAGATAAGATTCTGGGTCTAGCAACAATTTGTTCCTCTGGCTCTACTGGCTTATCCCTCTTCCATCTTGTTTACACAACAAGTTCTTAAGCAAACCTTTTCTCCACTGAAGCCAGCAAACAAGCTCCCTGGGGTTGGTGGGGTTGGCGGGGAGCTGATCTCTTCTCTGGGCCTCCATTTTTCACTAAGGGGAGGGCTCCCTAATGACCCATGTCCCCTCCCGCTGGGACCTTCTCCACAGTATCTCAGATAAGGAAAAGGGGAGATTTCGCCCCCTGGGAGGGAAATTAGCAGAAAATGCTGAATTTAAATGTGGACGACCAAGGTGGGGCTAACTCTGAGTTTGGGGTGTGACTGCTGGTTTCATCCCCAGCCTGCAACAGACCCCCACCACTAAGGCCTCACCAGGGACTCCTCCACGTCACCTCTCACCTGACTGCTGCCCAGGGGACAGGTGGGCTCAGCTGGGGCTCCTGCTCTTTGGGGAGGCAAAAAGACCAGCTGGCCTAATATTTCACCTCTGTGGGAAGGAAGTCAGTTGTCCATAGACCCAACTCTGCGGTGAGGAAAGTGGGGGCTGCCACACGTGCTGATCTCTCAAAGCGCAGCACAGCCCCTGGAAGCCCACTGGCTTGAAAACCCAAAGCCAGGAGGTCTGGATCACCTGGGAACTGGGGAATCCTAGGGCAGACACAGGGAACCCGGGCCGCAGGGAGTGAGAGAATGGTGGGCCCAGCTCTGTCTTAGCCAGGCAGGCTCTGGCCATACCCCGGGGCCATGTGGGAAGGACACTGGCAAGAGGCCCAGGCAGGGCTCGGGTCCAGCAGGAGACAGGGTGTGAAGGCAGGAGGCCTTGCCTACGGCTGGAATCACTTTCCACCCATGACTCTTTGATTTCTACAACTCACCTACAGGACTGAGATTAGCATCTCCGACAGATCTGGAGCTCAGCCTCAGAAAGGAGGAGGGACCTGCCCAAGGCCACCCAGCCAGCAAGTGTCCACACACTTTCGGTGTGACTTATGCTCTTCTCACTGCCATCTTTCTTGCTCTCTGGCCCTAAAGGTCATCTTCCCCAGGAGAGCCAAATAGTTTTAAGGTCATGTGGCTAAGATTTCATGCCAGGCACGGTGGTGTTACACCTGTAATCCCAGCTACTCAGGAGGCTGAGGCAGGAGGATGCCGAGTACAAGGCCAGCCTGGGCTACTTAGCAAGGCCATCTCAAAATTAAAAATAAAAAGGGCTGGGGATGTAGGTTAGTGGTAGAGCACCCTGGATTCCTGGGTTCAATCCTCAATACCAGTCCCCCACCCAGGTACCAGTCCACACCTGAGAGGTGCAGAGGGATGGTGGGGAGCAGATTGGGGTCACGGAGAGAGTCTTCATCCCTGCTGCCAGCCATGCCCAAGGGCACATCCGGAGTCCGTGGGTAGAGAGCTGGCAAGGAAGTTTCAAGAAGGCAGCCTGAAGCCATCTCCTGCCAGCTCCCACCCCCACACTGGCCAGAAAGAGGACCACCCTCCTTGGCAATCTCCAACTACAGGGAACACCTTGCCCTGGGTGCCCGGGGCAGAGGGGCAGTCTGTGCTATAGCACTTGCCAGAACATCTTGGGCATGAAGGCACCTGAGCTGTGTCACAAGCCAGTGTATCAAGTGGGTGTCTCCAAGATGTTCAAGGGACTCTGGTGGACACAGTTGCTAACTACAGAGGTTGCCCATCCGCCTCCCACCCTATCACCCTGCAGCCACCAGGCCCAAAGGCCTGTGGTTTCCAGCCGGCATCCTCAAACACTAACATGTCACCTACAACTTGATTTAAGTGATGGATAATACACAAATTCCTTAAAAAGCACCAATCATTTCACAGGGTTGTGCTCCTTTTCCAACCTGTGTCCTAAATCTACAATGGCATGTAGGAAGATAAGGGGATTTTGATATTAAATAGGGTTCTCAACTTCAAAGACCTAGGACCATCATCCAAAGGGCTCTGGGGAGCAAACAGGGTAAGAGACGTCTGATCCCAGTCTGGCAGAGGTCCCAGCCCAGCAGAGCACACACTTAGGAGTCCCACTCCAGAGGCTTCAGGAAGAGGGAGCTGCAGAGCCTGGGCCCCCCACCAGGCCCAGGAGAGGATAAGATAACGTCAGTGCAAGACACTCACGTAGGCAGTCCTGGGAGCCCGTGCATCCTAAGTGGAAAAGGGAGGACGGCTCAACGTGGGTTGCCGTAACTGCCCCAGTGGAGTAATGAAACCCGGCTTCTGTGGGTGGGAGCCGGGTCACTGACTCAACAGGTCCCATTAGTCACAACACCAGGGACAAAGCGCTGCCCTTGTCAAAGGAGGCGGTTACAGTCATTCCCAGCAGCCTGAATTCTGTGGACCTGATACTAGCTCTGGGGCTCACAGGACCCTAGGCTTGTTCCAGGAACCCAGGCTTCAGGGTCAAAAGGCAGATGGGCCCTGCGTCACCCCAGAATAAGCAGCCCTCACTTCCGCCCCATCGAGACTCCACGACACAGCAGACTCCTCAGGAGGCTTCAAACAGACTCGGTGTTTTAGAAGTCGTTTTTAGCGACCTCAGTTTCTTGGTCAGATCTGGGAATCTAAGACACAGCTGCCCCTCTCCCCAGACTTCACAGTCATGGGGTGTCTGAGCTGGTTCCACCCCCCTCACACACACTTCACAAGAGCAACAATGGCTGCGGGTGACACTGAACCCCCACCTGTGTCCAGGGTCCGGAAGAGTCTCTAGGAGACGGTGCCAAATGAAGTCTCCTGAGCTC